TTCAAAGAATTCACGAGGCGTCTGAAATAGGAGTAAGTTTAAAAATGTATTCATGTTATTCATTCCAATAAGTTAAGGTGCGCTAAAATATTCCTTAATTCATCTCGTAAATAATTAGTGATACAAAACCCATTTTTTTTATCCTTTTCTTTCATAATGTCCAATTAAATAAAATTCATGATTTTTAATCTTATCTACGCAGCCTCGTGGCGTTCTTCGGATGAAAACATCTGCTATAATCAGATATCAGCTTTATTCAATTGTTTGGTTTTTAATGGGGTATCATGAAATAATAAAAATAATTGTGCAGTTTTGAACTAGCTGATTGATCAAACTTATTTCTAGACTTCAAACATCAACGTTACGACCAGAATTTATAAGCATTATTTACAATTTCAGAACTGCATCCTTTTCAATCTCAGTCTGAGAGGGTGCTTATTAGCGAGCAATTAAGGGTATCATTCTTCCTTTACTTTGAGTTCTTCCTATAATTATCAAGCAATTAAAAATATGAACTGAGCAGTTTCCTGCTTCTGAAATTTTACTTCTAAATGTTTAGTCATGATAAAATTATGAAGAATTTCTATTAACCATTTTGAAAAGGATTAGAGTTCGTTATTCAGGAGATTGTTGTTATCCGTAACAGAACTAACGTTACGCATAAACGGTAATTGGAAACAGTGGGCATGTTGAGCAGCTTTTAAGATTGTGCAATTATTATATTTAGAATTGAATTGTTCTCTGTCCTCGCCAAAACATTTTTCAGCATTGAAAAAAAAATCTTTCAAGCAAATTATCGAAAGCATCTAAATTCGTTCAAATAATGCAGTGTTTTCCTTATTTTACTTACTTATTATGTGCTTCGCCCTTAGGCGCTACACGGAAAGGGAGGGTTGCCCTGTGGAGGTCTTTTTAAGGAAAATTGCCTCTTATCGACGTTACACAGGGGAAAACTACGAAAATGCCCATGCAGCCAGCCCGTTTGCCAATATTTGGACCCCGGACTGAACTACCAGTGTTCAGGGGCTTTTATCGCTCGGTCGCTGCTGGGCTTGTGTTTTGTTTATCGCAAATCGAATTTTCTTCAAGTCGTGAGTCCGAATCCATCCGAAATTCATTATCAAATCCATTATGCATATTTTATCTTATGTATGTATTAATGTAACGTATGTATGCATGTACTATTAGTGTATAATATATAACGATGTATATAGTTATACGTTGTACAATTTGCACTGGTATATGTCTGTAGAGTTTAGAAAATTTATATCGAGTGCACTATTAATGTATGTATAATTGATATATCGAATGCGCCTGTCATGTTATGTATGTATCAAAGTAATGGACGTGTGTATGTGTTATTAATGTATAGTATATATAGCTATAAAGTGCGTAATGCGCATTGGTATTACTCTCCAAAATGTCTGTAGAGTCTAGGTACTTTTTATTGTAAGTTTTAATATATCGAGTGCACTAATGTATAGTGTATTAATGTATCGAATGCACCTTTTATGTTATCTGTGTATTAATGTATTGTATGTATGCATGTAATATTAATGTGTAATATATATAGCTATAGGTTATACAATGCCCACTGATACAGCTCTGCAATGTCTGTAGAGTTCAGGAAATTTTATTATTGTATGTATTAATTTATCGTCCCTGCGTCGACTATTATAATAATGCATTATTAATGTATAATGTAATACGATATATTACTACTGTGGTAATTTAACGTAGTGACAGCACTTTTTGATGTAAGTATCTTTATATTATATAATAAGCATTGCTATTGTAGGAATCCGCAATCCCCCTGTTTTCCACCATCTGCCCCTGTTTCCATTATTCTTTTTCTGGACAGTTGCGGGATTTGGAGGATACCCGAATAGTCAGTGAAAGCCGCCCGGGTGTCCGGACCCTGCTCTTACCTGTCACCTATCAAATCCATTCGATTTATAAAAATTACTTGATAAAAAATTATACCCGTTGAATGTGTAAAGTCATTGCGCTTATTGCGAAGCAGTAAACATGGAAAAAATGAAAAATGCTCTAAATGGGCTTCGAAATGTGGACCTGCCAATTTCTATCTGGATGTGATTCTCCTTACACCTCGAAGAAAAACAGTACGAAGGCAGAAAATACCTTATAGAAGTTCCAATTTTAATTTTTATATAAATTTTTATATAAGGACAGAATTAATTTTCAAAGTGATAACATGTTTTTGTAATTGATAAACAGCTGTATCTGAAATAAGAGAATTCGTAATAATTCATGCACGTTTGGTAAATAATTAATGCTATAATGTTATTAAGAAATAGAATTTTTTACGGAGCGTTGTTTTCCGGAATTCTGGCTTAACTAATTTTAAGTAGCTGTGTTGCAATATTTTTTTTCAGATTTTTTAGGCTTATGATTCACAATAGCTCGTTGATTTTAATTAAATAAATAGCTCGTTGATTTTAATTAAACCAGGTAAAGCGAGGACTCTCCGCCTAAGAAGGATCCTTCGTGAATTATTCACTAAGGCAACTTGCTTTTATTTACGTTATACACAGGGTTGGCGCTAGACTTCGAATGCACCTGTATCGAATGCACGTATAACGTATATAACGTAAATAAAAGCAAGAGCAAACTCTGCTACTCCAAAATTCTGCCGCCCGGCGTTCTAAATTTTAAAATTTTGCTGCCCCAGAGCGTGTGCCAGTACTTCGCCAGAGCGCATCAGTTGCACCCGTCTTGGTATAGAATAGGCGTCCTGGTTGCAGATAAGATGAAACGCCTTTGCAGCGAAGCCCTTCGTAAGGATTCTAGTACAAGTAGAAGTATTGAATGGTCCTATCTACTCGGCTACCATTGGGACAAATAACTATGAATAAATGCGAAAATTAACATGTTATCTAAATTAATGTCCTATGTGTTTTTATGATATCAATAGCGCGTAATTCAAATCCCACACTTATTAGAAAATCTGCATTAATTATAAGCATTGGTTATAACGAATATTTTTCCCGTTGATTTACTAGCAAAAATTATGTAACGAAATGTGGGAATCCTGTATACGTGAATATAAGCTGTTTAAGCAGCGAATGAAAAGAAAATTGTGCCATTTGGTATGGCGCAATTTTGGGTAAGATGGGCAGTTACTGTTTATAACATTTATTTTTATTTAGTCCAAAGGGGCTTTGTCCCTGAAGGACTATTGTTTTCGTTTTGCGATTTTGCGTCGGACTCATAAACGTTGGTTCACTTTTCAAACTGTTGCCACAAAATGTTAGAGTCCTGCATTATATTTGAAGAAATTAAATAATGAAAAATCTGCATAAATGATTGTCTATTTCTCGCATTGTGATAAAACAATGGTACATAGAGCCATCGAATTTTGAATGACGAAATCCTACTACTGCGAATATGGGCATCTGAAATCCCAAAATTTGGAATTTGTTTTATTATAGATTTTATATTTTTGTAAAACTTTAACGAATTTTGATTTACAAACTCAATGCTTTAAAAAAGCGAGAAATGGCAACGTTTTATATAGAAAAAAATACTTTTTTATCTCCAGCTCGCGAGACTGTGTATATCGGAAATTCTAAAGATATGCTTAATTTAACATTATTTTGCGATATTGCTCTTGAACTGAATTTTATGGTTTAAGTGCAAAGAACATGATATTTAATAAATACAGGTAACACTCAAAACGTTAAAAAAACGCCCCTTTGAACGTAATTTAAAATCTGAAACATTTCAGATTTTTTTAATTAAATTTTAAAACATACATATTTATATATTAATTTACCAAACATTCAGATAGTGTCTCATGCGGTTTGGGGTTATTTGGTAGCATAAATTGGTATCCAAGCAGCTTTGGAGCGAATTATCGCTCAACGACCGATGTTCATAACGACAAGGACTTGAGATGGTTACAAAATAACCTTTTTATTAAATCAAAACGTTGAACATAAAATGCACCTTGTGCTTAGCAACGTCAGACAGCCACTTGTGGCGAGATAACTTAAAAGTAACAGTGAAATTCAAATTCAAATTAAATTTAGTAGTCTAAGACTATTTATTGGGAATTTGGCTCAACTTGAATTTAGTGAGTTGGTTAAACCGGCATAACAATTTAAATGTCGGCAATTATAATGCAAAGCCGAAGACTACAATCTTACCTGAGCTAGCAAAATCTAGTAATGTGGCCTCGAGAGGCAGAAACACACTCTGTCTTACAAACCGCGCACCTCAAATTAAATACTCTTAATCTTATTTGGATTCTGGTAGGGAAACGGAAGGGAAAAGTAACAGTAAAGATATAAATCATAATAATTGGCTAAATTAACCCAATGTAACCTCACAATCCATTACAGTTAAAAGTAATCAGTTCCATTTAAACAAGTATTTTTAATAATTAATTATACTTAATTAACTAAATATAAATAACTATTAAAAATACGTGATGCAGAATGGCGTAAAGTTTTAAAAAGTTTTGGTACTTTTATATTATCTGGACCGGATATAGAAATGTATGGATGCATGTATGTAGGTATGTCACACTTTACTTGTCACATGTATCACATACGTCCGTACATACATATGTATGTACGTACATGCATACATCCATACATTTCTAAATCCGCTGCCGATGACAGAAAAGTACCGAAATTTTATAACTTCTTTCATTTTAAGATTAGTATTCGCTTACTTCATGTTGAAAAAAAGTACTTTTACTAGTTATTGGAATTATTATTATTACTATTAGTTATTGGAATTATATTAGTTATTACTAAAGTTATTGGAAATATAATTCTTCAGAAAATAAAATGTGATAACGAAATATTTTTAATTGTAAGAGAGGAAATTTTCAAGAAATATTATCTCATAATTCACTTAAAAGATTGCTATACTTTTCTCTTTTATCCGTGTTAATATTTTGTCCTTTACTTCTAGTAATTGTTTTCTCAGCTATTCACATTGTATGATGACTTTCGTATTTAATTCGACAGGTTACTTACAACCCGATTATTTACTGATATCTACATTGAATCTTGTGGAAATCCAAAAATAGTTGGCACTGCAGCAGCTCTTACGCTTCCTGATTACTTCCTGTTAAACAGAAATTTAGAACCGCAAATCCACATCAAATATTTCGACAAGAATCATCAAGAAGGTAAACGAGAATTTGAGCAGGGAATCATCTTGGGCAATGGCCAAACTTTGGCTCAACTACTCATGAAATCTACATCGCTGTCTGACTTTATTTCGACTGTTCAAACTTTCCTACAGAAGATCAATGTGCCTGTCATCAAAAGAGATAAAAACTGGATACGAGAGAAGAAGATGGAAGCCTTGCTGAGTGCTTCTGTGGGATCCGTAGAAGATCCAGTAATCTTGGAAATCGCATGTAAAAGTTTGAATGCTGGCGTGAAGCCCTTAATATTGGTTAGTAAAGCAACTCCTTATGAACACAGTTCCTTAGCTTTAAAGAATAAACCAGATTTGCAGGAATTTCCTTTCAAGACAAGTATGGGAGGTGCTTCTTCTCTTGTAGGATGTCTTTACTCGCTTTGCAAACTTCAGGTTAGGGTTTATGTGCACTGCATCTTGGTTTTAGTTTGTCAACAACAAACCGAAGTGGTCAGCAGATGCGAAAACATAATTTGCACAATGAATGGGACAACTATCCAATTAGATTATCCTAGGCCTGAAGGCCGACTCATCATGGCAGACGCTCTCTGTTATGCGGATACTTTTGATGCAGCAGCCATTGTTGATGTAACCTCTATAGCCAGTAAGTTAAGCTTCTATGTTTTTGATAAGTTGCATTTCTAATATAAAGTCACTTTCCTTCCAAAATTCATTAGTTTATCATTCATTAAATTCAAATTAAATAATTAAATTCAAATCAAATAATATCATTCAAAATTCATTAGTTTATTATTCATTAGTTTATCATTTAGCTGCATTAGTTTATCATTATTCATTCTTTAGCAGGTTAACATTATCCTTTCGTAATTAAAACTCTCATTCCGAAGTTAACAACTTGCATAAATACAATGAGTTAAATAAAATATTTAAAGAAATTTAAAGTAATTTTTTTAGTGTTCATCGCCAACGATTGCCTTTCTCGTGTAACTGTTAACAATTATACTAGAAACTAGACTATATTAATTCTGTTGTTGTTGTGACTTATCCCACGAAATTCATCGTCACAAGGAGTACAAGACTGCCCTTGTGGTTGGCAAGGACCTTGAGAACCATACAAGTGAAAGTACGACTTTGTCCAGTTCCACTCCCAGTTTTCGTGGACACTATACATTTACAAACCTCCATGCCTTCTTCGAGATTCGAAAGCGGGCGTTGTGGTATGGCAGTCAGCGTCACTAACCACTATTCCGTTTAGGTGACCTTATCAGGTTCTATGTTCCGTCTTACTTTCTTTATGAACATGCAAGGACCTGACCCGGAACAGGGAGCTTACTAAAGCTATGTTCAATAACTGTGGGAAGTAGACAAGATACACAAGAAGGGTATACAAAACCCTTTATTTTTCACTCTTTACAATAATTTCCGTACTTCGGAATACAGAGACCAACTACTTGTGGTCTGAACGTAAGAATATAAAAATATAACTAAACTCTAACTTAAATTTGGAATAATAAACGTGGAAGATTGGCCTTATATTAACAGGAAGCCGTATGTAGTACAGAGAACTGTTAACACTACAATACGTTTAAAATTATCACGAGGATTAAACCTCTGGCATGGAAGGCAACTAGCAACTGAGTAAAACTTCTAAGGTAAGTGGCCTGCTTCGACTAACTCCTTCCTCTCTCTCGCTTGGCAAAAAGCCACAACTTAAGTACTTGGCGTTCGCCAGACAAATTTTACATAAATAAGTTAACGCTTTTAATTCTGGCCGGAAGTAGAAAATAAGAAGTGATAGTAAAGATTTAAAATAAAATAAACGTTAGTAAAACTTAAGATCCTTACAACCTCTGTTAATTCTATACTAACGTACGCAGCGAATTCAGTCCGTCCGACGTACCAACACAACTTATCAAGCTTTTTACCTGCTTGTTCAGTTGCGAATAAATTTTACTTACCACAAAGGAATTTTTGATTTAAGAAGAAAATCTCTTTTGATTTTATTATTGTTAAAATAGCTAAAAATGCGATATCTAAATTTTATCTCAATTGATTTAGCGGCAGTAAAATACCGTTAATGTTTATTTTTCAAATTTAGAAGCATAATTTCTCTTTTCAAATTTAAAACCAAACTGCGTAAATTAAAAATTTTTTATTTCTGTGAATATTGTATTGTTTCTTCCATTTATCCTGTAAAAGGAAGGCTGTACTAATAACTCGTTATATAAACACGAGGTGGAGCAAAAATGGATTATGTCAGTAATCTCAACTGAAATTGGTTATTTTACATCTGAGTTGAGAAATTACACCTTAACTCTTTCTCATCGAGAGGGGGTAAATGCTAACCCTCTCTCAACCATCTAAGACGCCCATGTATACGAATTTCTGTTGAAATGGATTTCCTTCCCCCTGCCAAGTAGAATGCTACAGTGTTAACAATAACCTACTTAAGTGAAGTGATTACTTCTGTCTTGGGATCTTTGTGCAGTTTCACCCACTGTGTGCAGTTTCCTTTAAGAACAGGATTGCAATTGCGAGCATCAATAGCTAAACTTTGACGCTAAAGAAAGGAGAGTAAAGACACTTCGAGAGAAAGGCATGTCATTTAAAAACTCGCATAACTAATGAGCCATGCAATTATGTGCTGAGGTAAAGCATGGGGTAGCAAACTGACATAGATATTCGGGCGACCTTGTCGATGACTTCAAATGCTCGGGCGTTGCAGGGATTTCGCTGTGAAAGAATTAATGAATTTTGTATTTTATTAATATTTTTGTTCATTTACACTTGATTTCTGATCTTCATAAAAATATGAAGTGCACAGTACTATTTAGAGATCATAATCTCAAATCATTTCAAATAGAAATACCAAAATTAAATTCAGCAAAATTTTAACTCTCTTAACACTTTTGAAAGTTTTATTATTTCTGAATCCTACTCTCTTGACGTTTCAAACTACATTTGATTGCAATTGATTCCATTTCAGGTTACGTTGATGAACTGATTGGTAATTCCTACGTTGCAGTTTTCACAAGAGACGATCTTTTGTTCAAGTTAATTCAGCAAGCTTCGTGCACTTCCGGCGAAAAAATTTGGCGACTTCCTCTTTACGACTGTTTCAATGAATTTCTGAAAACAACTAAATCTGCAAATATTTGTTGTGTCGGAGAGAGCGAAAAGACCGCCATCGCTTGTAAATTGGCTGCATTTCTTTGCGAATTTGTCAAATCGAATGATTCATGGGCTCATCTGGACATCAGCGCAGTTTGCCAGTGCACGGGCAAGAAGGAATATTTGAACGATTGGGCAACAGGTCGGTCAACAAGGTTATTGACTGAATTTTGTGTAGAATACTTCAAAAAAGGTGGCAAATAAAAGATAAGTTCCAGTATAAAAAGAAAATAAGCGCATGCTTTAATCATATGCAACTAACAAATTAGATAATGTTTTGATGCGGCTTATGGTCACTGGAACAATACACTATTTACACCTTTCATGAAAATGCTAGAAAATATCTTTGGTCTGGTATCATATCAAGGACAATGAATAATGAACAAATAAGAAGTCATTATAACTATATTAGAAAATGCTTCTCACTGAAGATCTCTTTAATATCGAAGATCACATAGAATAAACAAATAGTGCTTCTCAAGAGAGAGATATCAGTAATATCTAGAACCTAGGACAAATAAGAAGTCATTAAAACCTTATTTAGAAAATGATCCTCACTGAAGATGTCTTTAATATCAAAGATCACATAGAATAAACGAATAGTGCTCCTCATAGGAGAGAAATATCCGTAATCTATTCTTCAAGGGAGATATATCAGTAATATCTAGAACCTAGGAGAATGGGCGAACAAAAAGCTACTACTGTCTTATTTACAAAATGCTCTTTGATAGAGATCTCGCTTTTCTGTGACCTATTGGTAATCTGTCAGCATGCAGAAACTTATACTCTCCATAAGAAAACAGGATTTAAAATGTTCTCCATGAATTCCTGCCCTCAAGTCAAGCAACTTTCGCGTATATTTTATCATGTATCAGTAAATTACCTTCTCGCTCTTTGGAGATCGCAAATTCAAAATGCAAAAAGAAAGAAAAAAGAAATTTAATTTTCATCTCTACTCAATATATTCTCTGTTAATTAGATGTATGAATACTCTGTAAGCATGTTTTAACCCTTTAAATTGCTGGCGGCTAATACACTCAAAAAACAAACTTTGATTTGACAAAAATATTTTAATTTCCTCGTAGGAAAAATTAAGATTTTAACTCTACACGCGTCTACATTTAAGTTAAAAATCTAATAGAAAATTAAATTACCATGTTTAATATATCGAGAATTTCTTGTACCATGTTTTCTTGTTTCCCTTTAATTGTTATTTCCATGTTGTTATTGAGTTTATAGTTGTTTAGGAAATTAATTCTTATTATATTTCCCTACAAGAAAATTTGATAATCATTTACATATACTTACTTCTTGATCCAATACTGATTCAGCCCAGCTGCAGATGATTTTGAAAATTACCAAAAATATCCCTTTAAAGTCATTTCTTTGAAAAATTTTAAACACGCATATTTACTCCTGAAAAGCTTTTAAAATGAAAAAAAAATCAATTTCCTTTCCCTCCACTCAGTATCGCTCATGTTCTTAGTATGAGGATAGAAACTGCTCTTTATTTCCCACTTTGGTTATTAAAATTGTTTGAGAGGGAATTTAAACAAGAAATACATGATTAAAATTCAACACTAAGTACTGATGAGCTTAGTGTTGAATTTTACTTAAACTCTTGATAAAACTCTCAAACTCATAAGATTTTCATTGGCCTATAAGATAAAATGCTTCAACGTAAAGTTATGATATTTAGGCATTAAACGCAACTAGCTTGGAGCACACTAGCGATTTTTTACAGAAATAAAGGTGATTCGGTGAATTTTCGGTTTGCAGCTTAACAATTAATCTGATTACCTAAAGAGCTATTAAGCACATGATTGCCAGAGTTTGTCGACTTCTATTGAGGTGGTGGCGATAATACGTAAGTACCGAAATTACAAGTCAGATTTTCACTTTGTAACTGTTTTCGAAGAAAAAAAGTGAAGAAATTTATTTTAAAAAAAAATCTCATTCATCTAATTATCCGAGATAATTTCAATATATTCATAAAATATGTCCACTTCCAGAGAATAAATGTCCACGTTTAAAAACGGCAGCATAAAGAGATCTGAAGATCTTGACAGAGATCTGAATTAATGGTAATTTCAGTTTGTCTTCTAATTGCAGCATATAACTTTAGAACTGATTTTATTAATTTAAAACCGAAATTAATTTTAACACCAAAGAAAATTCCGTTAGAAACTAGAATTTTTATCGATTTTATAAATAAAACATTTCATTAGAAACACTAATAAAACAAACAGGTAAACACTAATAAAACAAATTAAAAGTTAGTGTTATAACTTAAATAGTGTTCACTGCGATGAATAAAATATCAATATTTAGAAACTCTATCTAAATATTGATAATCCATTCATCGTAGTGAATACCAATAGCCCAGGAGCTAAAACCTCGAAACACTGGTTAGATTCGAATTCTATTCCGGCGACTGCATGATGCTTTCATGCTTTTCTGCGTGTGTGGCATAAATAGGATGTAATTTTCTTCAGAAAATTTACCACGAAGTCATTTCTTTTTGAGGTAGATACCGCTCAAGTGCTTTACCATTATTCTGTTGATTAACTATTCATTCGTGCAATAACGGAGGAAAAAAAAATTATTAGTAAAAATATTTCTGAGCCTAAATTGTATAATTTTCAAGTGAGTTGTTACACTCTTCCCACTTTGTTTTTGTCATATCTATATGTATATAATTTGTAAAGAAATACAATGAGAGAAACTTTAAAAATTAATGAATCTCAAAATTGATTTAAAAAGGATTTAAAAAGTAAAATTTTTCGCTTTCGTTGCAAAGATTAAAAATTTAATACAGGATATAAAAATTAAAATTATCTTCAAGGAAATATGAAATGAAATTTAGATAGTAAAGTGTAGTACTGTGGAAATTAAAAATTGGAATTTGTAATTAATAAAACTGGAAGTGGTGATTAAAATGCTCAATTAAATAATTCAAACAAGAGAATCATAGTTGATTTCATAGAAAGATCCCGACAATGATTCTCTTGTTTTATTTCTTTTACACTTCCAGCTATTAATTACATATTCCAAGTTTTGAATTCCACAATACTAGAGTTTACTATCTAAATTTCACTTTTCCCAGGAGATAGTTTTCATTTATATATTCACTATTATATATAACTTGTAGCGTCATTTAATGATTCTGTGAATAAATTTATAGGCATTGGTGAATTAATGGTAAGGCTTTTCACATGAATTTAAACTTGCTTTACTAAAACTAGCATTACTTTAAATTAATTTGAAAAATGCTAAGAAAGCACTTAAAGTAATATAATAACCTTATTATACTTCTATAAAGTTTAAATATAATTTAACGTCAGTAGTTCACTAGCTAGCAAAATTTAACTTACTACTTTTTAAACTAAAGTTGAAGGGTGATTCTTAGACAATATTTCTGCGAAGTTCAAATGAACTTTATGTATTAATGAAACTTTTCATCACCTAGGATATGCGATGAACACACTTATATATATATATATATATATTCCTTTCATGTTCGAATAGAAACAATATATTCCAATTTTATGCAAACAAATATATCTATTGGCTACAACACTTGCTTAGTTTTAAAATAATTAAAATATTAAAACTTATTTTAAAATGCAAATGAAAGAAAAATTAATGATGTAAATTGCATATTAACGTTTGTTCTTGGCTTTAATTTTCCTGTTATGAATGAAATATACACATAATATATTGTCGATCAAACTGAATAAATTAATGATAGTGATCTACAAAAGTATTCATTACAATACTAACAAAGTTTGTATTCTGCAATTTATTATAGTATATTTTTTAAACAACTCTGAATAATTGTAAATCAACGTTCATTTCTTAGAAATCTATAAACAATATAAAATTCTCCATAAGAATTTGTAAACTTTTGTTTCTTAAATAACTGTAAAATAATCCTTAAGCGATTTCTACCTGTTTTACGAACATTTTATGCATTTTTACAATATATGCGTGTATGCACCTCATTTAAAATATTTTATAACTATTCCATATTTGCATTATGTTTCTAGCGACATTACATATTACCCATAAAAATATAACCCATGTACGCTTGTAACAGACTGAGATACATTGCAATAGATTTTATAATCTTAAAAAAAGCGTTTTAGTTTTCTCATTACTTCGCTATTAAAACAAAAAGGAAATTTTAAAAAAAATCCGAAATCTTTCAGATTTGATATTACGCCTAATGAGACTTTTGTGGACCAAAACTTTTTGTGTGTTATCTTTATTTATTGAAAATCATGTTCTTCACTCTTAAACCCCATAAGATTCAATTCAACAGCAATATCGCAAAATAATTTTAAAATGAGCATATCTTTAGAATTTCCGTTACACAGTCTCGACGCGCTGGAGATAAAAATGTTATTTCTCGTACAGTGTTACCATTGCTCGCTTTGAAATTATTAAGTTTGTTGATCAAAAATTCGTTTACTTTTACAAAATACGAAAAGGATAAAACAAATCCAAAATTCGGGCTTCCAGGTGATCATGTTTGGGTGGAGGACTACGTTATTTAAAATTTTATGACTCTAGGTACAGTTCTTCTTTCACGATGCTAGAAATATACATACACTGATGAAGATTCTTCAGTATTTAATTACTTTTAATATAATACAGGGGATAATATTTGGTGGCAATGTTATAGTGAAATGCCACAAAATGGCTTTTTGAGACTAATAGCCCTTCTGCGCTACCTGCCCTTTGGGCTAAGAAAAAAATCTCCGTACTGAATAACCAGCTTTTATCTTATTTTAATGTTTTTAATTGGAAGTATCCATTTGAACCTTTTAAGCTGCCCTTAGCCAGCTTAGTCATAAAGATTAAATTCTTCCTCGTAATAAGCAACTAGGTTCCGAAACTGCAAACATTATGTTAAGATTACTTTGAGGGGGTAGTTTTAGCACATTTAAAAGTAAAGAAGGATTAATTCGAAAATTATTCTGCCAATTACGTGACGCAATCAAACAAAATGGCTACAAAATTCTTCCTTAATCCGGAATAAGCCCCATTTAACCCGCATCCCTGCTTTTGTCCAAATTTCTGTTCGATCTCTCCCCACCATCTAACTTTATATAACTGGTCATCAAACTCGGTTCTTTATCTGGTCATCGGCGGAAAAGGAGGGGAGGATAGAACATCACAAGAAATTACCGCGGATGGAGAAGGTAGGGGGGTTGTATCCTTTATAAGCCTTCAGAAAAAAGGAAGGGTGGAGACTCTGACGCTATTTTCGCGATGGCTTTTGGCAAGTCAGACGTGAGACTCTTGGTTGGAATCATTGATGAATGCGATAATTTGGATCGCTGAAGAAAGCGAATATTCGTGCAGTTGTTCTTTTTAGGCTAAAGCATATCCAACTCCTGGGTTAGATTTTGATTAATGAAATACACACTCTCTCTCTCTACTTCATCGTTATCGGTTCTAACTAAGCATCGTGTTTAATATGCAGTTTGTGTCGTCTTATATTAAATTTTATTGTAGACGTTGATGCGTGAGCCTTTGTTTGAGAATTACCAGAGGCGTCATTTATAAATAATCTTCTATTATATCATAACACCTTTAATTTCGGTAATCTCAAGCAGAAGCACGAAGTTCAGTACTACTTTATTTTCGAAGCATAGCTGTACTCAAGTCTCCAGAATTTTATTTCAACATAAAAGTTAATTTTAATTTCGAGTATGTAAATTATTTCTAAGAAAGTAATGGATAGGTGTGTGATCTTGCTGTGTTATATGGGCTACTTTATTTTCGCAAAATAGCTGCATTCGAGTTCTCCAGAATTTTATTTCAACATAAAGGTTAATTTTAATTTTGAGCACGTAAATTATTTCTAAGAAAGTAATGGATACATGTGTGATCCTGCTGTGTTATATGGGCTACTTTATTTTCGAAGCATAGCTGCATTTAAGTTCTCCAGAATTTTATTTCAAAAATTTATTCCTATTTTTATATATATACTGTGCGTATCGAAAGTTTGAAAATTTTTGTGAAAGCGCAGAAATCGAATATAAAAGAATTATTGGTTACAGCGAAGCACAATGGCTAGCTCTTTTACCAGCTGTAGAAAATATTTAAAAAGTATAAGAACCATTAAAATCATACTTTTTATCACAAGAATGTCCAAGTACACTGGTGTGCAAAAATTAAAGACGAAGTCGAAGAATTAGCGTAT